TCACAACCTTCATGGCTTAACTCTATAGAGGAAGACCTGAAGTCGTATCAACTAAACCTGCTCGAGACATCAAAACTTGTCTTCAAGGTCTCCCCATCAGACGTCTCTTGTGCAGTTTTAACAGAGATTCTCGCTTCAAATAGCCAATCAAACTCAATAGCTTTACAATTCGAGCAGTGGTATAATTCCACTTCATTGCGGCTCCAACAACTCGCCATTCGAGACCCCGCAATTGCCGTTAAACGAGAATATTTGGCCCAGCAGATTTCTTCATTTTATGTGAAATTCATCACTGAGGTCATAGAAGCTCGAGGGACCTTTATCAAGAATGCTAATGAACATACGATACCCAAATCAGTGGGCCGTGTTATTGAAAGAGAGGTGTCCCTCTCTGTTTCCAGCTATAAATTTCCATCTCCTCTGGCTTTCCGTTGTTCCTGGGGCGCCCATCTCAACCGTGAGAGCCGTTGTAAGGCTCTATTGAAAGGTGTCGACTCGAGTTTAGACCCAAATCAGAGTCATAGTCAAGATACAATGCGACAATTGAGATGGATTGAATTGACTTTGATTGATTTGCGGAGTGCGTCGCTTGACTCGGTAAGAGTCGAAGAAATAGTTCAGGGATTGAATGAATACCGAAAAAACATTCTCTCACATATAGATGCGGAATGGCTAAAGCAAACCAAAGTGAAGACACAAGTACAAGCAATCCTGACGCGCAAGTGCACCCATCTACTTGACGTGCCACGCAGATACTGATATTATGAGTAGAAGTCTATACTCCTGTTCTACTTTACCCTCCGCAGTTCATTCAAATTGGAATGATGGTTATCACGCTCAAATATACTTTTCATCTTCCCAAACGAACGATATCAGCTGTTCTTAACGCCATTTTGCACTATCCGATGAGGTATGGTCTATCAGAGTGTTTAATTGAACATATGCCTCGTGACCCACGGTCCTACGAGAAGATTATCAGCAATAGGATCGAAGAGGAGCAGAAAGTCTTCTGCGGGAGGTGCTCCTCGGGCTATTCAATGGTTGAAACCATGTCTTCTAATCAACTGGATTGCACCTTCAAATCATCTCTCAATTCAGAGCAGTGCGGATATAAACTTTACAAACAAGTTGGTGATAGACTCAAACCTATTTTGCTTTTTCGGCGTCGAAAGTTGAACGATTGGATGC